GCCTTCTGTGCAGTATTCAGGGGGGCAAAGACCCCAATGCAGAGTCCAGGGGGCTTGGTGTGGAATGGTAAAGGTAAATCGTATCATCATTATCCTTGCCGTCAAACAGTGCCTCAAACGAGCGTTTGGTGGCAAACTACTGGTTATCAGCCGAAGCAGTTCTATGAATATTCTGAGTTAAGGGACTTCACTGCAGTGGCTACACCGGCGACGACACATGGGCGACGAACGCACCATAGACGGTCACCGACAGCCATGCAGCGACGTCTGGAGAAAAAGCAGGAACGCATCTCATCTTGTCAGGTCGTGCACGAAGAGCCCTATTCGCAAGACAAAGCGGAGGAGCTCATGAAAGCCATCCTGAATCTCAAGAACGAGGTCAACAGTATGATTGATCTCCCACACGAGAACTCGTGCAGAAGAGCTCGTGCACGATGCAGAACTCGCTCAACGATTGCTTCGAGATGCCCGGCGCTACCGAGGCGCCCAGCGCCGCCGATGCTGCCCCCGGCCAAGCCGCGGTGGCAAACGCACCCGGCCAAGCCGTGGTAGCGGGCGCGACCACTCCTCCAGACGCTGTCGGCCAGCCCGAAGGCGTCGCCGCTGTTGCCAGCCAGACTGACGGCTGCGGAATGGGAAGCGCAGAGGCCCGAGAAGACCCGCACCATCAGCAACGACTGACTGCGCAGCATCCAGGGGCCGCCATCTACTTCGAGATCGGTTCAGACGCCGAGAACGAGGAGCAGCGCGAGGTTGTCCTCGATGCCGGGCGCGCTGCAGCGGCTACGCCTGCCGCGGATCCAAACCACAAGCCTCTCTTCGAGCACCGCCCGCCCCCTGGGCCGGGATGGGCCCGCGTTCGAGATGCATTTCATTTTCGAGGGCCTATTCCCGGTGATCCTGTTGTGGATTTCTATACAGGTCTGTTCGGTGGCGAACGAATTGGAACGCTGGTTCAGAGAAATACCTCGTGGATGTTGGACGACTGTGAGAAAGGTTGCAGGTGGGGCGTCCTTGTTGCCGACGGCGCTCAGGACTGGCATGAGAAAGAGATTGGCTGGCACGAGAAAGAGTTCGCGATCCCCCCTTCATCCTGAGGGCACACTGAGATGCGCGAATGAGCACGCTGCACTCGTCGAGTCCGCTGGACAGGGGGAGTTTTTATTACCCGAGTAATAGAGGAGTTATCCAGGAATCCTGACGAGCACTTGCAGCATCAGCTGGCGATGGTTCCCTCGTTCCGTCCTTTCTCTCGCTTTCTTCTATCCCCCGTAGTCCTTTGCCCCGAGTGGCCCGTGCAGGCCGCAGGGGGGGGGCGGGGCGCAGACTTGAACGGATACTTCACTTCACATATGTTGGAGCCTTCTGCGCAGTATTCAGGGGGGCAAAGACCCCGATGCAGAGTCCAGGGGGCTCGATGTGGAATGGTAAAGATAAATCGCCTCATCGTTATCCTTGCCGTCAAACTGCGCCTCAAATGAGCGTTTGGTGGCAGACTACTTAACGCCCTAACAACCTAACAACCTAACAACCTAACACCCGAACGCCCGAACGCCCGAACGCCCGAACGCCCGAACGCCCGAACGCCCGAACGCCCGAACGCCCGAACGCCCGAACGCCCGAACACCCGAACGCCCGAACACCCGAACGCCCGAACACCCGAACACCGGAACACCCGAACACCCGAACACCCGAGCACCCGAACACCCGAACACCCGAACACCCGAACACCCGAACACCCGAACACCCGAACACCCGAACACCCGAACACCCGAACACCCGAACACCCGAACACCCGAACGCCCGGACGCCCTACGCCCGAACGCCCGAACACCCGAACACCCGAACACCCGAACACCCGAACACCCGAACACCCGAACACCCGGACACCAGAACACCCGAACGCCCGAAACGCCCGAAACGCCCGAACACCCGAACACCCGAATCCCCGAATCCCTGAATCCCTGAATCCCCGAATCCCCGAATCCCCAAATCCCCGAACACCCGAACACCCGAACACCCGAACACCCGAACACCCGAACACCCGAACACCCGAACACCCGAACGCCCTAACGCCCTGACGCCCTAACAGCCTAACACCCTGACACCCGAACACCCGAACACCCGAACGCCCGAACGCTCGAACGCCCGACCGCCCCAACGCCCTGACACCCTAACACCCTAAACACCCTGACACCCTAGCACCCTAGCACCCTAACGCCCTAACGCCCTAACTCCCTAACTCCCTAACACCTAAAACCCTGACACCCTAACACCATAACGCCCTAACACCCTAACACCCTGACACCCTGACGCCCTAACACCCTAGCACCCTAACACCCTAACACCCTAACACCCTAACACACTACCACCCTAACGCCCTGACGCCCTGACACCCTAACGCCCTAACACCCTAACACCCTGACGCCCGAACACCCGAACGCCCGAACACCCGAACACCCTAACACCTCTGGGCGAAAGAAGCCCGAGATCCGTGATGCCGTAGGGCTCAAGGCGCTTTCTCAGCGAGGCTACGCCCTGGGTAGAGGAGCCCAGGGGAGCCCGAATCCAGCACGTTTGAAAACATTTGTGCGTTCTCTCTTTCCGTTAAGCACATTTGATTTTGCATCGATGGGCGACAGTGCAGACCCTCGAGCTCTGGGCGGCGATGTCTCAGGAGCGCCGGGCGCCGCGGGAGGCGGCGCGCGCAGAGGGGCGCGGCCACTTGTCTTTGTGGGCCCAGCGCGCGCGGCAGCGGCAGCTGCGCGGGCCGAACCAAACGGGGGGGGGGACGACGGCGGCAGAACGCTTCGCCGGAAGGGGAAGATCAGCCTCGCCGGCCGCTGCAGCCGCCGCGGCGCACCAACCACTCACAGGTGTTGTGCGGAAGCTTGTGGAGGAGCGCCTGGGGCAGTACCTGACCAGAGACATGGGCCGGCACGCGCAGAAGCTCTCGAGCGCGCTCGTGGCCAAGATCCAGCCCCTGCAGAACACCAACCAGGCAATCGCTTCAGCACGCTCGTGCATCGACGCCCTCGCAGAATCGGGGGACGATTTGCCATTGGGGTTCCACCTGAGGAAGGCCCCGATTCACTTCGAAACCCCGTTGCTCGATTCCACGGCATGCGACGACATGGACATTACGATCAAAATCGCTAGGGACATGAGCGCGCGGCAGGCGAAGGAGCGCATCCACGTGGAGCACACGATTGCCCAGAAGAAGCTCGACCTGATTGCTCTTGAACAACAGCGGCTACACCTTCGCAGCATCGCCAAGCGTTCGGCGTTCGTTGACAAATGCATGTCCCAGCACACGCACCAGAAGTCCATGTGGGAGCAGCTCCACCTCGAACTGGAGGACGACGACGAGGAGATGGCCACGTTGAAGACAGCAGATCTGCAAATCCACATCCATACACTTTACAAAAAGATTGTGGACCGAGCTGCAGCGGCCCAGGAGTCTAAGAGGCAGCAGGAAAGCAACAAACTGGATATCAAACGTACATTGGTAGAAGAACTCGTAAGTAAGACACCCCAGGAATACGTCGAGTACACCGTGAACACGAAGGTCGAAGAGAAGTTGAAAGAGATGCACGAAAGTGGTGGCAGTACGTTCAGCAAGGACGCGACCTACTCGAAGCTGCAACTAGTGGAGGCGAAGGCCGGCGTTGAGATCGACTCGGCCGCCTTGATGACAACAGCTTTGACGACAGGAGGAGTCGCATGCGAGGATGCCGAGGACAGCTTGGTGCCAAAAAACGCCCGCGCCCGGCCTCCCGCCGAAAAGGGCACTGGGGGAAAGGGTTCTGGGAAGGGCAAACCCACGAATCCGAAGGGGGCAACAGGCAAAGGCGCGAGCAAAGGAAAAGGAAAAGCGGGCAAGACCCAGGGCCCGAAATGCAAAGGCAAGGACGCAGACAAAGGCAAGAGCAAAGGCAAGAGCAAAGGCAATAACAAAACAGGTGGCAAAGAAGAAAGGAAAGGATCAAGGCATGGACGCGGAAGCAAAGGCAAGGTGAGCTCAAAGGGCAAGGGGGGGGACTCTTCTGGAAGATGGCGAAAGGAATGTCACTTGCCGATTTCCGCCAGTTGCTCCATTGCGGCATCCGCGAGCCCGATGTTTACATGTATGATCCATCCCCCCGAGTTGCGGTCAAGCCGGAGCCAGGGGCCCTTGCATGGCCAATCGAATTCTTAGTTGCCAAACATCACACAACAACATGTTTTGCGAAGCAGAGCGGCGCCAGACCTTGCATCCGCCAGCAGATCTTTGGCGAATTGGGCCAACAAATAGAAGTGGAGGTACTATTTCAGTCAAGCGCCGGAGGACGACGACGCCAACCAACGGTTGCGGTTCAAAGCGAAACCTGGCACCACACCCCCGTGCACCGAACAACTTCCATTCGCTTTCGAACAGCATTGCCGTGAAATCGTTGACGGTGCATGGCACGAGTGCCGAAGAGTACGTGGCAGGCACCTCCGCGACCGAGCGGCCGCCTCCAACGTTTTTGGAATCATATCGATCGCAACATTATGAAATTCGGTTGCGTGGGCGTTTTGCCAACAGATTAAGATGGAGGGTATTGCTTGACTACCAAAAGTTGCATCATCGATGAAGCTCTGAAGATCACGAGCATGAGCCATCATCGACAAGTGCTTTTTTTTCCATGACATCGCCGAAGAGTTAGAGTTAGAGTTGGAGTTAGAGACGGGGCCTTCAAGGCAAAGTGGTGGGCCAAAAGGCCAGACACCCGCGGGGCCCCAGGGGCCGCCCGCCCAGGAGGGGCCGCCATGGGCCGCCTCTCGGCAACCAGCGGGGCCGCCTTGGGCCACCGCGCAAAGGAAACTCGACTGCGACGGCACGGAGCCCCCACACTGCAGCGCGCCTCGCGTGCCTACTCACACCAGCGGCAACACGCGAGAACGATGCTTCTCCTCACTCACTCACTCACGGATGACGAACCGCGGTGCGCTGGCAGGCGGCTGATCCTGCGACTCACCTACCTTCCGCCCGCCGCGCTGCTCACGGCGGCAACCTCCGCCGCCTCCGCTGCCGGCGCTGCCGCGGGGGCCGCTGGGCTGCCGCCCGAGCTGCTGGCCGCGGCTGAGGCTCCGCCTGTAGGCCCCGCCTCACTGCCGAACTCCTCCAGGCAGAACTCCAGGTGCTCCGAGCCGCGGCGCGCCAGGCGGCGGCGGACCCTGCGGCTCACCAGGCCGCCGATGGGTGGGGCTCCCGCTGCCGCGAGCTCCTCCTCGGCTGCCACGCCTGCGGCGTCCGCGCTCAACCCTGGCCGCTGCTGGGGCAGGCTGGCCGCCGCCGCCTGCGCCCCCTGCGCTGCCGCGGCCGCTGGGCCGCTGCCCGAACTGCTGGCTGCGGCTGTGGCCCCGCCCGCGGGCTCCGCCTCGATGCCTATCCACTCCAGGTAGCGCTCCTGGGCATGTCCTGGCACTGGCCCTTGGGAGCGCAAGGCGGGGATGCCCTCTGCTCTCACTCTCCGCTGGTCTGCACGCGGTCTGCCAGGGCGTAGCCCTCGCCCCCGCAGGCTGCGCTGGTTCCTGCCCGACTTGTTGGTCAGGTAGCTGGGCCCTGGGCACTGCACCTCGAGGCGAGACTTGCCTCCCGCGCGGCCGCCCAGCACCTTGTAGGCGCCACGCTTGGTGCACGCCGCGATCTCCTGGGTGTCCTCGCCTACGTCTGCGCAGGCATAGCTGAGCACGTGCCCCAGGACGCTGAAAGCGAAAGCGGTGGCCGAGAGGGGTCCATGGCCATGCACCGCTCTGGCACAAGGCGCAAGTCGCCGCCCCACTGGGTCCGCTCCCCATCGTAGACGGGCGAGGCGCGGCGCAGGCCTGCTGCGGCCTCGAGGGCCATGGGCTGCTCCTCGCGGGCCTCCGAGAGGGCCAGGCCGCGCAAGCGCAGGGCCGAGGGGGGCAGCAGCAGCTGCCGTGGGTGGAGCTGGTCAGCGCCCAGGCTCGCCGCCAGCGAGCGACGCTTGCGAACGGCCTGCAGCATCTCCGGGTTGAGGGGCGGCAGCGTTGAGCCTCGGACGTCCCAGCTGCCGGCTCCAGCTCCAGCCCTAAAGCCCTCCTGCTGCCACATGGCCTGCCAGTTGGCCCCCAGCTGCTCAAATGCCATCGCGCCTGCCGAGGGGCCTGCTAGCCTGGATCCACCACTGGCAGGGGCGGCACAGCCTTGGCAAACCTGCGGGCGAGTCTGTCGCCCTTCTGCACGGCCTGCTTGGCCCATCTCCTGCAGGAGGCCGAGCTCTTGCCGCCATCTCGCTTCAGGGAGCTCGCGAGGCGCCGCTGCAGCACTGCAGTAGCCTCGGGGTCACCATGTACGCCAGCTTGGTCACTGCGGTCGCCCCACTCGCTAGTGCCGAACTCGATGGCCCCAGCTGCGTTCTCCTCGGCGCCCAGGAGGATGAAGTCCCAGCTGGGCCTTGCAGCGCTCTCCTGGCCCCTGGGCTTGCCGAGGACGCCCATGCCGCGGCGGCCTACCAGGTCACTCCCGACGCCCTCGGCGCCGCTCTCGTGCAGGCGCAGGCCCGCCGCACTGGCCTTGCTAGGCACTCTCTGGCCCTGCCTGCACCTCTCCGACTCGGCCCCTGGCGACACTGCCAGAAAGGGAGAGAAGCCAGAGGAGCCAAGTCCGCTGCTTCAGCCGCCAGCTCCCGCTTGCATGCCTGGGCCACCGTCGGCCACTCGCCCAGCGCCTCGCCGTGCCGCTCGGCTTGGCCTCGCTCGGCGGCTGGCTGGGGCTGCCAGGGGTCGCCGCCGTCCGCGAGCTCGCCATCGTCGCTGCTGGTCTCCTCCATGGGGCAGGACTCGGCCCACGGCGCACGCTTGGGGGCCGCTGGGGCTCCCTCGAGCTGCGCCCGCACTGCCTCCATCTGTGCGCGAATGGCTGCCCATGCCACCTCGAAGTTGCTGGAGCTCCACGCCTCTGGCAACTTCTCCAGCTGCATGAGGAGCCCTGGCGCTTGGTTGGCTCCTGTCCACTCTGCCGCGCGCTGGCGACGCAGCGCCTCAGTCGCGGGCTGCCTCCTCGAGCACCTGGAGCGCGCGGCTCGCCTCCTCCACCTGCGCGTCGAGCTCCGCGAGCTCCTCCTGGGCCTTCTGCAGCTGGGCCTCGACGAGGTCGCGCGCCTCCTGCTTCTGCACAAGCACCTGGCGGGCTGCCCGGAGCCGCTTCTCGCCCTTGCTGATGGCGTTCGCCTCCCTGTGAAGCCGAGTCGCCCGCGGCAGGGAAGAGGTCTTCTGCTCCGCTGCTGCTTTTTGGGCCTTGACCAACTCGGCCCGCTTCGCCTCCAGCTGCCTGACCACGGCGTCGGTGGAGCAGCCGTCCACTCCGTCGGGGGGCTCGGCCTGCAGCGCCTCGAGCTGCTCGACTGCCGCCTGGAGCCTCTCGACCGCCGTGGCGCCTCCGCCGCTGGGCGCCCCACTCGCCGCCGACGCCGAGGTCTGCGACTTGGTGGGGGCCGCCCGCGATGCCGCGGCGCGGGCTTGCCTTTGGGCACGGCGCCACGTGGCTGATCCACCCAGCCGTCCTTGTCCGCCTTGGGCCTCGCCTTGGCTGAGAGCGCCCCCATCGCCCAAGGCGGGGCCGCATGCCCGCAGCACAGGCACGAGGTGCGCCAATCCCAGTTCCACCCGCCACAGCTGCACATCCAGTAGGCCTTGCAGCGCCTTCCGCAGCCGCCGCCGCGCGGGGACCGCGCCATGGCCACCGCTGCACTGGCCGATGGGGCTGCGCCTCCGCGCCGAGAAAACAGGGAGCACAAACACGAAATGCACTGGCCCAAAGCGCGGAGACCCTCGCGCTCGGAGCGCCGCGAACGACTCGCGGTCGTCGGGTTTTCCATGGCCTTGAGCCAAAATGGCTACGGAAATCGCTGAAGAGTTCTTCAACGATTACAAAGCATCGGTGATGGAGATGGGCACGCTCCTTGGGGACTTACGCCTATACCATGCCTTTTTATCTGGGGGTCGCCACGGGTACGAAAATATGATTCCCCGATTCAAATAAACACACACACCCGCAGGAGAGGTTGAGTTCAGACCAATCCATCCCAGCATGGGGAGCCCGATGACAGGAGGTATGAAATGGATGTCTGCCACTCTCCGCCCATCCATCATGCGACAACCACACATGCTACGTGACAGTCTGGATTTGCTCTGCCAGCTTCGGGGCATCAGGGTCGACGCGAACGACGTGTTTGTCAAACTTGATGTGAAAGATTTTAACATGAGCGGGAAACATCAACAATTAAGCACACAGTCCGCCAAAGCAGTGGACCCTGCGCTACGAGAAGCATACACTGCCCTTTTTGGTGCTATCCTTCGGAGCCAGTTGATATCCATAGATGGAGTGACCGATCGACTATGGACCGTAAGGTGGGGCACAGGACAAGGTTTGCTATGCTCAGGTGAGATCAGCGACACGGCGTTCCACTTCATGGTGGAGGAAGGTTTCATCACGAATCCAGCGGTACGCCAGAGGTATGGAGTAAAGTATGACGGGCGTTTTCAAGATGAGATTCTCATTATATTTAATCGCTTCGCTCATTCCGCCGGCCCATACAGTCTCATGTCTGCCGTTTGCCCGAGGGCCTGGTGTCAATGCGGCGCTTTGGGGGTTCCTGGGGCCGCTTGGGGGACTCCTGGGGCGCTCGGGGGGGCATTTGGGGGGCCTCCTGGGGCCGCTTGGGGGACTCTTGGGGGCCTCCTGAGGGCCCCGTGGGGGCCTCTTGGGGCCTCTTAGGGGCCTCGTAGGGGCTTCTTAGGGCCGAGGGCTCGAAATGTTGTTTCGTGTTCCCTCTCTGGGGCCCCTTTGGGGGCGTTCTTGGGGCCCTCTTGGACCGTTTTGGAGGCTTCTTGGGCCGTCTTCGAGCCCTCTTGGGCCATCTTGGGGCCCTCTTGGGTGCCTCTTGGGCCCTCTTGGGGCGATCTTGGGGGCCTCTTGGGCCGTCTTGGGGCGTCGGGAAGCCGAAAAGGTGGAAGCTCCAAAATCTCTCAAAAACCTATGGAAAAACAATGATTTTTGCCTCCGGGGGCCCTATTGGGAGTGCTCTTGGAGGCCTCTTGGGGCGTCTGGGGGCTATCTTGGGCGTCTTGGAGCGATCTTGTGGCATGTCGGACCCCTCGTGTACCATCTTGGGGGCCTCTTGGGGGCCTCTTGGCCTTTCTTGGGGCTCTCGGGGACGTCTCGGAGCCCTGTTGGTGCGCTCATGGAGCGCTCGGGGGGACCTGGCCGGGACCTGGTCGGGGTACTTTTCGTCCGGGGACCCCCAGGGGCCGCCCCGCGCGCGCGAACTAGAAAATTGTTAACCAGTTACCGGAGATCTTAGCACGCCTCTGGCCCGTTGGGCCGGCGATGGGCGTGTTTCGGCAGATACGTGGGGCAAGTTCGCGAGAGCAATCCGGTTGAAGAGCCAATTTTTCAAGATAAAGACGGACAGCATGACGAAACTCTCCGTGAACATGTTGGACGTCACCCTCTCCAAGGACAGCGAGTAGGAACGAAGTGGACGCTTCACATTATTTTTGCATTAAGCCTACTTCCATATATATATATATATATATATATATATATGTATTCCATTATCGCTATCGTCTGCTCACCCGCTACATGTTCATTTAGCGTGGCCGCAGGCTATGATCCACAGGTACCGGCGACTCAACTGCACAAGGACATCAGCAACGACTTGCATCACATCTTTCGCTTCTGGCGTGAAGGTGCGGGACGGTATAGCCCATGATATCCAATGTCGCAAACGTCATCTGACCAAGTTTTCCAGCAAACGCAACGACTCAACCCCATTTTCCTTCCTTGTGTTTCCCTATTTCAAAGAATGGGAGAGCGCGAAATTCAGGAAGATATTTCGGACAGCTGAATTAAGTGGGGAGGCTTGGGGGATTTCGGCAAAGTCCGGGCCGCTTTTAAGCTCTCTTCCGAGCACCTCGTTCACAAGCTTACGAACATGAGCCGGCACAGGGGCAACAGCACCTTGAGCGTGGTCCGTGCCTAGGGTTCCCAGTCGCTTGATAATAGTGCTTCGCGTTAGGTTGGTTGGCAGGGGGGGGGGAGGAATTAACACCCTAACACCCTTGGGCGAAAGAAGCCCGAGATCCGTGATGACGTAGGGCTCAAGGCGCTTTCTCAGCGAGGCTACGCCCTGGGTAGAGGAGCCTAGGGGAGCCCGAATCCAGCACTCTTGAAAACATCTGTGCGTTCTCTCTTTTTCCCTTAGGTGTTGCATGACTTTGGACCTCTCCAGAGACGTCCCTGGGAGGCTCCGTGGCCCCAGGTGGAGGAGAAGGCGCGCGCCGCCCTGTCGAACTTGACAGGCCATGCGTCTGGGCGGTGCCGTTGCGCGCGTCCGTGCTCAGCGCAGCTTTCGGGCCGCGGGAGCGAGAGTTTCCTCAGAGTGGCGGGGCACGCCAGGACGATGCCCCTGACGCACCCCTTCTGTTTTGCGCGCAGTTGTTCGAAGTTGCGGAGCTCATTTGCGTATGTCTTCTCTTGCGCTTACTTGTGCGTATGTGTTGCCTTTGTCTGTGTGTATGTGTTTGTGTGCCTCCTCCTCTCTCTCTCTTTCTCTTTCTCTGTCGTGTTCTGTCATTCCCTCTCTCGCTCTCTCTCTCGCTCTCTCTTTCCCTTTCGCCCTCTCTTCCCCTATCTACCTGTCATACCTGTGCGTATGTGTATCCACATGTATACATACCTATGTGTACTTGCGTGTACGTGTTAGCTTATAATGGGGCCCACAGGCAATCCGGACGTCTCCGCGAAGGAACTTCCCGCGCCCCATCCCCATTTCGATTGCGTAATTCGTGTCAACACACAACGTTATTGATTTTGCTGATCTTGTTTTCTGGATGTTGCACGTAGTGTGAAAAGACTTACATTCGGTTGGCAGTTCTTGGGCCCTGGTACGATCAAACAACGATTCCCTACCGCAAAAAACTCTCTGGCATGGAGTCGGGAGAGCAGCACGACGGCATCTGATGTCCTCTTTGTTCCTGCATGTTCCTGACCTTCTGTCTCTGTTCATCTCTTGACTATCTTCCTTCTCCCTGTCCCTACATTAGGGTGAAATCGGCACCATATGGTGACCGAGTGAAATTCTCGGATCGTTGGTCATGCATGTATTGTGTGTTCGTCCATGTTTGTATTTGAGGTTGTCGAACAAGCAGTTGTGCGTTCCTGCGAAAGGTTCGCGCACGCCTTGCTACTTTCACATCGCAGTGCTTGGAGGCCTTAAGAGCATTCAAGTGGTGCAGAGAACGTCGAGGATTCTCCATCATTGAATCCCCTGGCAAAGAAATTGTATAAGCGACACTACGAGTATCGCGACGTGCAGCACCCCATCTGCCTCGCCAGACCTTCCAGCCAGCAGCCTCAGCCAGCCCTGGCTACCCCAGGCACGTGCCTGCCTTATGCGTTGATTTTCTAGGTACTAGTTGCTTGAGCAACCATTTCTTAGGGAGGCGTTCATTATGGTTACTGTTGTCGCGGCTGTACCAGGGAGCTCTGCTCGGAGGCAGATTTCGCACAAATCCTTTCGGGCCGATCGTTGGGGAACCGGCCCACGGATGAGTATCGCGCTTCACCATGATTTCAGGACACCACGTTCGGCGAGATTCTCGGACAGGTCAAGAAGCAGTTGAACAGCGCCTTGGACCACGGCGTGGATTTGGGCCAGCAGGTACGGAGGCCATGGCGACCAGAGGAGGAGTAAGCTGATGGAAAGAAGGGGCAGGTGTTACGTAAGTCACGTGGGGACCCCGCGGTACCCCCGCACGTTTGTGTAAAAAGTTCGGAAACCTGGTGGGCAACGACCGAACTGGAGGATGATGACGACGAGGACGATTAGGACAAGAACGTTGTCAAGGCGAAGGATAAGTAGGAGAAGAAAACACCCGGCCAGCCCTACCGACACCTCTGGTGGTGGGACGACGCGGAGTTGTTCATCACGGCGAGGGATTAGGAATAGAGGGGGCGGAGAGGAGGGGTTGTTCTCGGGCCTGATATTGCCCCTTGGGCTCGCCTTCATCAGATGCGCCCCCCGCCCAGAGAGCTACCGATGGGCCACAGGGCGCCTGTTTACTCGCCTCGATCGCCGTTCTGAGGCCGGAGCCGCCGCCAGAAGCCGACGTGCAGGATCGCACAGAGAGAGCTCCTTAGAGTTAAGTCGGGCCTGTCCCTCTACAGGGGGTGTCTTCAACATCAGTCAAATTGTCTGGGTACTATGTTTTAAAATATTGAGTAACCTTAGAGCCTTGCGAGCCGACGCGTGCAGTGGAGTCTCGCTTCGGCCTCCTCAGGTGGTAGAGGTTGACTGTCGCTCTCGCTGCGAGGCCAAGTCGCACCAGACTCCTGGTGTCATTTATTTGTCTTCTCCATCTGGCAGCAGGTTTTTCGTGGGTCTGTAGTGCTGAAGCCGTGGCAGATCCCCCCCGCCTCTTCGTTCGACAGGGGGTCACACAACATTAGCGTGTCATTGAAGACTCTGCGGAGGTCATCCTCTGCCTGCCCGCCCAGACGGCCTTCTGAGGCACGTCGCTGGTCCAGTCTGTAATGCCAGCTCCGAGATTAGAAAGGCGGAGCCGCGACCTCACCCCGCACCTCACCCGGGGTTGGGAGGGACAGTGTTCTCGACGGCGAGAGATACGGTTTTTCGTCGTCCTTGTGCCCCGCGTTGCGCCGCCGCCCACCCCCTCTCAGTTGTCGCGAACTCCTAGACGTCGTCGCTTCGTCGTCATGCTCCAGCGTGGCGCTCGCCCCCAACACGGCCCCCAGTATGATTCGCCCGGCACGCCGCTGGCAGCGGGAGGGTCTGTTGAGCCGGATCGCCGTGAAGGGAAGCGTGTCTTAGTCTCCTGGTTGTCTTTTGGGTGGCTCTTCATCCTAAAACATTTCGCCATTGTCCAGGGTCTCGCGGAGGACCCGGGCGAACAAACATGTTGTGCCCGTCTCTTCCAGGAAATTTCTTCATGTTCAGCGGAAAGTTTACTGGTATTGCCCATGTTTAGATTTTCGAATTTGCATTATGGTTCGTGATTGCAGGGGGCGGTGTCGTTGGCGCGTGGGTATGGTTCGGGCGCTGATTCTGCTCCTCCTGATCCTCATCCTCTTCGTCATCGTCCTCCTGCGCGTCATTCCCCTCCACCTCGCCGTCGGCCCCAGGCCTCCCCTGGAGCACGCTCTGGCCAGAAGTTCTAGACGGACCCAGCCGTGGCAACGAGTGCCCTGCAGTGTGGGCCCCTATCGTCTAAGACCCTGACATGTGACGCACTCTGTGGCTGCAAAGCCTTGAACCCATCCCCCCCCCCCCCTCCTTCGATGCCTGCGTCCCTCCTGCCCCCCACAGCTGCGGCACGCACACACCCCAGGTGGCCAACTCAGGAGCCTCGCAGTGCCGTCATCTTCGGGGCACCCTGGGAAGAGTGAAGTCTGGTCAAAGCTTTGCAGAGGACTCCATCCCAAGCGAGCTGGAGTCATTCGACTTGCCCCCTCGAGAAGTTCCCCTCTTCATCGCCCTCCTCATCGTCATCCTCACGGTCATCCTCTCGTCCTCTCCCTCCCAGCCTTTTCGAGCTAAGGCCCGTCTCGTCCTTCCCCTCCTCTCGTCTCGTCCCCTCCCTCCCAGCCTCATCATCCTCCTCCCATCCTCTCGTCGGTCCCCTCCGCGCGAGGAGGGCGGGGGCCACGCCGCGCCCGAGGGCGTGAAGGAGCAGCCGCCATACAGTGATTCGAGCACCATGGGCATCACGCTGTCGTTCATCCTCTTTCTTCGTCTTCCTCTCCTTCTTCTTCTTCTTCTTCTTCTTCTTATCATCCTCATCTCCTCCTTTATCTTTCCTCGCCGTTTCCTCCTCCTCCTTCTCCTCATCCTCTTTGTCCTCCTCTTCCTTCTCAGTCGTATCATCCTCCTCCTCCTTCTCGTTCCTCCTCCTCCTCGTCCTCGCGCTCCCGTCACTGTATTCCTACAAATTCCAGCGTGAACACACCCATGCGTAAACGCTGCTGTCATTTTATTTTTGCAGCAGAAAGCGGCACGCTGCATCCCCGCCCCGATCCTCCTCAGCAGATGTGAACCTACTGAGAGCAACGCAGGCTGCCATCAGCATGTAGTTGTGACGACGCACTGCGCTCTGCCTCCTCCTCCTCTTCCTCCTTGTCATCTATCAAGCATTAAGCGGGGCCAGACACCCGAAGTCTCTTTCGGCGGCCCTGTCTCGGAATCATCGGCTGCAAGGGCCGATCCTAGTGCACTCCAAGTGCAGGTACGTTAGGCACGCGCCGGAGGTTGCTACCTTTCCGCCTTGCAATTAGACTGGCCTTCGGGTGTTTCGCTTCGTCGCCAGACGCTGCATGCCTGGGCTACGCTCCTCCCTCGACCTGCTTCTCGCCCCCCCTGCCCCTCGCACTCCTCCCGCTCCTGCGCATCCTCCGCCCCCTCGCACTCTGCCCCTTCCCCTCGCACTCCTCCCCTGGCATTCCTCCCCTTCCCCTCGCACTCCTTGCCCTCCCCTGGCACTCCTGCCCTTCCCCTCCCCCCTGCGCATCCTCCCCGCAGCGCGCGTTCACCAGGAGAGATGGGGCCCACCTCGAACTCCAACGTGGCAGGCGCCAGCGCACAGCCCGCCAGAGGTCATCACGGCCGAGGCGGGGACCATTGGACAGCTAGAACGTCATCAAGAGGCGCGTGACCGAGACGAGGACCCCAGGGGAGCGGAATGCACTCGGCGCACGTCAGCGGGCCGCCTTTGTCAGTTAAAGGGCACCGTCTTGAGATTCATGCGCTGCGACCTGATAGAGTTGGTCTGTTGTTCCCTTCTCGGGCCTTGGGGCACCGCCGACCCTGAAAAGAGATCAGCAAGAGCGCAAGTGGCAAGAGAGGGCGGGAGAGAAAAGAGAGATGTACGAAGAGGACGAGGAGGGTTTCTAGGAAGTGGGACATGACGAGGACGAGGGGAAGAGGGAAGGGACCAAGAAACGGACAAAGATGAAGAGCACAAGAGGGAATGGTAAAGGGTGATTCGGGGGCGGGCTCCAGGAAGACCGCGAACCCGTAGAGGCGTGTTGGGGTCTCTTGGGAGGCCTCTCGAGGTTGCTTTTTATCAGCATATGATTACTATCATGTTTGAGCTGTTAGTGCCTCTTGGGAGCGTCTTGAGGTCCTCAGGGTATCTCTTGAGGGCCTTTTACGGGGTTGTTGGCGGTCTCAGGGGCTGTTTTCAGGGAACGGCTCGAAATGTCAGTTCGGGCTCCCCTAGTGGTGCCTGCTTGGGCTGTCTCAGGGCGCTTCCTCTTGGAGGCCTCTTGGGCTGTCTTGGATCGATATTGTGGGGTTCCATGGGCCGTCCTGAGCGGTCGGCATCTCTAACACTAGACGTCCTCCGTGTTTCTCTCGTGGGACTATCTTGGAAATGCTTTTGAAGGGTCTATTGGGACATCTTGAGAGCATCCTGGGCCATCTCGGCGCGCTCTTGGGTAGTTTCAGGGCCAACTGCAGGAACATCTCATCACCATGGTATTCGGGTGCTTTGATGGAAGTTGTGATTTTGCTACGACGTTGGATCCCTGGGCGTCCGCAATCTCCAGTCCACCCCAATACGAGGCAGGAGGGACGGAAGGGAAGGACTGAAGGAGAAGAGAGAGCAGGAGGAGGACCAGAGTGAACCCAGGATGCATCAACGACGCCTCAACACACCCTCTCGTCCCAAGTTCCCTTGCCACAAGTCCTTGCTGGTGTCCTCTTGGGCCGTCTTGAGGCCCTCTTGGGGTCGGTCTGGGCCGCGTTGGAGCTGGCCCCATGAGTGCAACTGCGATAGAAGTTTGAGCTGCCGCTCGTCAATCGTAGGAAAGCTTCACGCGAGAGCCCCATTCTGGAAAGGCGCGTCCATGTGAGTGCACGCGTAGACGCGTAGCCGTGTACGTGCACGCGTGCGTAGCGTTGCAAGCTTTTCAAAACGAATGTGCGCGGCGCCGGGGCCGTAGCCCCATTTTGAAAAGGTTGCTCATTGCATCCTGACGGCTGTTGCACACTTTGTACGGTGCATGGGCGCGGGACCTGGGCGAGGACCCCATTCTGGAAAGGTCCGTCCCTCCATATGTCTAGCTGCTGCAAGCTTGGCGCTGGGGGGAGAGCCCATTTCGAAAAGGTACTACCCGCGCCGCCCTCTGATAATCATTACACTTGCTGCAGGCATTGGAAGCGAACGTGCGCGTCGCCATGACGTGGGTCTGATTATTGAAAGGTGCTGACCTCCAGATTTGGAGCATGAACGGTTAGGAGGTCTCAAGCGAAACGCACCGCTCGCCTGATCTACACGTCCAGAAGAGCAGTTCTCCAGGCGAAAGGATGGTAGAGGAGAAGGGGGGGCGAAGACGAAAGCAGAAGGAGGGAGGAGAAGGGAGGAGAAAGGTGGGGCGGAGGGAGGCGGAGGGAGGATGGGGGAGGGAGGGAGAAGGAGGAATGATGAGTGAATAAGGTGAGGCGGGTGAGGAGGAGGAGGAGGAGGAGGAGGAAGGAGGATGAGAAGGAGGAGAAGAAGGAGGAGGAGGAGGAGGAGGAGGGACGGGGGATCCGCCAAGGAACGCGCTCACGCATGGCAGCCTTCGTCAGGATTGTGGGGTTGGGATGCTCAGATGCTTGCTCGCACCGCCCTGACCCAAGCCCCCAGCACCGTCCTCGCATGCACCCGAGGGGAAAGCTCCCTCCTCGCCTCCAACCCTCACGCGGGCCCTTGCTGATGGCTGGAGGCGTCACGCGTCGCATCCGCCGTGGCCCCGCTCCGCGACTGGGTCGCGTGGGTCTCGCGTCGCGTCTGGCGGGGGCGATCTCGCTCCTCGCTGGGGCTTGCGCCTCGCCGCGCGACTGGGCGCGCGCGTCCACGGACAGGCGTCGCACGCTGGAATCCCCGATACCTTGGGATACCTAAGGCACGACGAGGGGCCGTAGGCACTCCTAAGGACACCCTGCGCATCCTTTTGGATTTCCCCCAGGTTTTGATTGCGGGGGGGACTCTGAAGGATCCCTTAGGGAATCCTTGAGGTTTCGTCGGGCTCCGAAGAGGTGAGGTGGATTTCGCAGACAAGAATTCGGAATCTTGGCGAGGCGAGGTCCTGAGGATTGCGGACGACATCGCCATGAACTCCACAGGATTGCCGAGGGCATCGTCAGGAGATTCTCCAGATTCACGGGGATCCCTGGGGGGAGCCAGAGCATCAGGAATCCCAGATCGGTGGCCACGCCCGCTGGGCAGTAAGGGGGGGCCCGCCTGCCGGTTTCGCCCTGGAGGCGATGGAGCCATCCGTGTCAAGTAGAGCGCAGGTTAGAGCCCAGACAGGGCCGTTCGAAGGCTACGCAGGAGTGGGTCTCATGCGTGTTGCGCACAGGAGGTGCAGGCGGCAGCCATGCGTCACTTGGAGGCGGGTGATTCTAACCTCACCCGCCCTGTGGTTCGTCTAGCGCTTCGCTGAACGTTCCGACGAACGGTCGCTCGCGCCTGGCGTTTTTGCGGGTGTGGCGCAAGCTCCAGGAAGAGCATTGTGTGAGGTCGACCCTCCAAAGGTTACAGCAGATTGGTGGCGAGTTAGCCTGCCCCGATATCCACATGAAATTGCACAACTGAGCAGAACGCAGTTACACCGAAGCTCCGGGAAGAGAATGGATCACGCGAGCGAGGGGGAGGGGGGAAGGGGGAGAGGTGGGGGAGGAGAGGGGAACAAGGTAGGGGGAGTATGGGGCCCAAACTTCTCCATGTTCACTGCATCTTGGGTGCCTCTTCGGGTCTTATGAAATCGCTTCTCCAAGCTTGAGGATGGTTACCTGCTGTCTGAAGGGCGTTAGCAATCGCTGTGAATCAACTATCCAGAGGTAGAGGAAGAGGAGGTGGAGGAGGAGGAGGAGGAAGGAGGAGGAGGAGGAGGAGGAAGGAGCAATGAGCATCAATCTGCTACTGATTTGCGCCCGCCATTCGTTGAGCGTCCGCTGCGAATGTAGTAGTGGACTGAGCAGTTAAGCGCGGACTCTGCTACATGAGCTAGCGACGAATACCTCTAACGAGACGGCGACGCGATGCTGTCCCATGAGGAGGCTCGCTGTTCTCACGCAATGGGTTCAGTTCTTCACGCGTGGAGGCAGCCGTGGTTCCTACACCGTGCCATGTGCAGCACGAGAAGGAGGCGGGCCCTCCCTCGGAGCAGACGTGGGTCACGGGATCTGAAAAGAGGGCGTTGCCAGCGCGAGAAAACGAATTAGCATCGTGTAGTGCGAAGAACTGCCCACACACACCTGCACCTTCATGCTTCGAGTAGGGGATCGACTACAACATTGATGTACCCCAAACTTGTCTTTCTCGTCGAATCTAAGAACATTTGCAGACGTTCCAGTCGATTGCTGAACGTTCTAGGTGTTCGTCGTAGATTCGATGGGGAATCAAGTTTGGGGTGAATCAATTATGTAGTCGATCCCCTACTCGAATGCTGGAGTGGTTTTCTTCTGGGTTGAGCAGTGGTTGCCCACCGCGTCCCCTCTTTACTCGCACTCCCCTTTCCTCCCCATGCCTGCCACGCCGCTTGGTATCTCTCGTTGTTTGTTCGTGCGCGGTTGTTCTTCTTGCGTGTCGTTGCTATCCCCGTCGCGCGTTCCCAAGCGTGCAGCGGCTCATCGGCCGCATAGAACCCACGGACCTTGTTGGCCATCAACGCAAGCCAGCACGAACAATCACGTGGAATCACAGCGGGTAATAATGGGTTCGGGGCAGACGGAGAGCTAACCCAGCGTAGTTATGCGTATGACCACATACAGCGATCAACGAATCGAAGAGATTGGCTAACCAACGCTTTAACAGGAACGCGGTTCATTGCATCGTTTGCCATGCATTCAAGTTATTTCGCGGGCGCGCATCATGTTACAGCTTGTGTGGACTCAGTGTGTCCCGCACAGGGTTCGCACTCAGCGGGGTCTGACTGTGGTGATGATATGATGGGCTGGCCGTTGTTGCCACGGTCCCCGTCGGTGGACAGCGGTGCCCGACGTTGCTCGGCGGTGCGCCGCGCTACCATCCCGTCTCGGCGGTGCGCAGCGCTACGGCCCCGCACGGCGGGGCCTTGCACGAGGGTGCCCCGCACGATGGAGTCCCGCACGATCGAGTCCCGCACAGAAGTGTCCTGCTCGATTGCAGGACGGTGCCCCGCACGAGAAGGTCTAACCCGATCGGGCCCCGCGGATCGCAGTCTGCAGATGGCACTGCAAAGGTCGCATGACATAGAATACCCCCCCACATGTTGCGCACAGCCGCTGCCCAGGGGCCCACGCAGCTACAGTGCCGTTTTTAATACATGTTCCGTGCGCGAATAATGTATTAAACATGCAGGGGTTTTGTACGAAAAACAACGATGAGTTCATGCATGCATTCATGCATACATTAATCATGTATTAAACATCCGATGCTTAAAAAAATCATATGTATTAAAAACTGCCCTGTACTAGTTAGACGAACGCGTCTTGGCGGGGCGTGCAGAATTCGGCACGTCTTGAGAGCCGTGGGGGCTGCATCGGGGGATCGGCGGAGGTCAAAAGATAGAGCGCGAGGGGTCAAGGGGAGGGGAAGGACTGGGCTTTCTTCGCCTACACCGTCGCCCTCCCTCCCCTTCCTCCGTCGTCCTCCATTCTCTTTCCTGGCTGAGCATGGCGATCACTTGCTGGCCCACGCTGTACAGTTTGCGTACAAGCAGGCGCACCGCAAGGCCAAGGTAAGACATAGCTGCATGTCCTCTCATCCGTCCTGCCTTCTCTTTCCTCATCCCTTGGCGTTCTTTCATCCCCCCTTCCTTCCTTCCTTCTGTTCTCCTTCCTTTCTCCGATGTGCCTCATCCTCACTTGTCTTGCCTCCCTCGCTCGGGCGAGCCCCTGCCAGTGGCTCCCAGGAGGCCATGACGGACCCTCGGCAGAGCGACTCGGTCCTCCCAACCGGGCTGTGGGTCTTGCTGGTGGTCTTCTCGCTGGTGCCCTCGGCGCCGAGCGAGGCGGAGGGTTTTTGTTAGGTTGTTGGTCTGATGGAACCGTTGACTGGCCAGCGCCGGCTGACACGCGACTGGCTTGCAGTCGAAAATAATCCGGCCGAGTAGAAACAAGGAGGCATGTTAGTGCCAAGGGTACGTACACGTATATGTAGCTATGAACACACCGCGCTCATGTTTACATTCCTGGGTCTGTGCATGTGCGGAGCGTTTGCTCAAGCATGTGCATGCATGTGCACGGCAATTTCCCCCCACACATGCGAGCCTTTTTCGTCTGATGTCCTATTGTGCATTCGCGCCCGGGAATGTGCAGGGTCATGCGCCTTGAATTTGGTGCGCCCTTTGTCTGCACATGCCCGCATATGCCGACGCACATCCCCGCACATGCCTGGGCATACGGAATGCGCACGAACATCGCACATAGTTTAGCGGCACATGCACGCACTTTCTTGTGCGACCTCTTTGCGGATGACTTCGCTGGCCAGCATATGCATGTGCATGCGTTGAGACGCGCGTCCGCACATGCTCGCACATGTCGAAGCGCATGCCCGCACGTGCCCTCGGAGCTGTCCAGAGTTCCCAAACATTCTTCCAATGCCCCGTGGCCTGCCAGGGCTTCCAAGAGTATCTCCCGCGCCCAGGGGGCTCTGGTGGTATACATGATGCGAGAATGTGTCGGCTTGACTTTCCCACTGCTGGCGGCCGCGGCTCTTGGCCTGTGTGTCATGTCTATGTGCCTTGCCCTGTGTCGTCGTCCAGTAGCCGTGCAGAGTTTGTTGGCGTGCACTCGCAAGCAGCTCCCCCGCGCTGATTCGGGTTGGCCGGAAGAGGAGGAGGAGGAGGGGGATGGAAAGGGGAGCAGGAGGAGGAAGACGGCGTGTGGGGAAAGGGAACCAGACGGAGTGGGAAGGGGGCTTGAATGAGGAGGAGGACATGGATGATAACGAGGACGAGCAGGTGTTCTTATTCTGCATCTCGGGCGGCAGGATGGCGAAGAGCATCTGGGGAAAGAGCGAGAAAGAGAGAGAGAGAGAGAGAGAGAAAAAAAAAAAGGAGGAGGAGGAGACACCGGCTTGGGGTCGTTTCGGTTCTCGAGGCGTCGGAGAACCCGATGTCGCCTTATGCGGTTTTCGGGTGATCCTTCCAGGTGCGGGCTTGCCTGCGAGACGCTGCGGCTTGGGCACATCGGCGCGTTCAACTGAAGTGGGGTGGCGTCCCATCGTGTCCAAGGGTGGTCCAGCGGTATTGCCAAGACCTTTAGATTGCAGTTACACGTTGCCAAACGATTGGCAAGAATGGTTGTCGGATGCAGCCCCCGCTGCTCCAAACCCGTCATAGGATACGATACCTAGCTGCTCAGATGGTCAATTCGTTTCAATCGGCCGTCGTGGATGAGATAACGGCCCAGTCTGGAGGACGTGGTCCGTGCGTTCCACCAGTAATTTCCACCAGGACCACCTAGACCACAGGAAAACGTGGGACGGCGCGTCCTTCCAGGACACGGTTTGGAGGTGCGGCGTGAAACGGGCAAGGCAACGGGTACGATCATATCTGTCCCCGCCAAGGTGGCGACTGGATAGTTTTGCTGGTCGAAAGCCGCCCATGGAATCGCGGACACGGCCGTCTCCAGTACAGGTATACAGCGTTTCGACCTTGATGATAACCGCGTTCATTTTGACGGCAACCGCGCGAAATGCGAGCAGCACACAATACCCATTGAAAAGGTGATGACGTACGATGAGTTGAACGGCTTCGGACTTCGCGTGCCCAAGCGCGTCCAAAGAGCGGGCGACGAACACCACGGCACTCACAGGCGCATCCCAGTCATTCACAAGCCGCTTGACGTTGACGTGTGCGGTTTTCCCCTGCTCTGCGGAAAGGAAGTATTTTGATCATGTGAAGGCAGCGATTGTTGTTTCCGGCATAGGCTGATTCAGAAAGACTTCGGGGATCAACTCGTGCTCCACGTTGGGAGCAAGGCCTCCACAACAAGTCTTGCTCCATGTCGGGGAGCAGTCGTCCTCCACGTCGGGGGCGTGTAGCGCGAAGGCGCTGCTCACTGCTGTGACACACGCGCGAAGACCAGGGAGTCTGGCGTCAGGAAATCCCGCATGGACCTCCTGGGGCAGCACAGGGTCGCCCGCCACCTCCGCAGCAGGAGCGCCTGCTTGCGCGGATCTTGCGCGCATCCGTTCGGGGCACGTGCGGGACGCGCAAGAATGCCGGGGGCCAGCGATCGCCTCCGCACGCCAGCGCGTTCGCGTCATGCGCGCGAGCCGCGCGCGGCTGGCACGTCCAGCGATGCGCAGCCTGCGCTTCTCAAGCGAGAAGGTCACCCTGCAGGAGCTCTGTATTCTGCAAGACCTACCTTATGTTTTTTTCTCCAGCTTAAAGACAGCCTGGAAAGCGGGAGCTCGAGGTCGCCAGCGTTGAAGAATCGTGAGGGGGAGGGGGAGGAAGAGGAGGAGGAGGAGGAGGAGGCGGAGGAAAAGGAGATAAGATTGAGGAGGGTCCTTGCCGCGCTGCCCAGATGCGGCATGGATGCGGACTTTATGTTTCTCCTCCTGGTTGCCGCAGCGATGAATTCCCATGTACTTAAGGTTGCCGCGATGTTGCGTTTTACACTGGAGGCTTTCCCGTGTTGGAGTCAGTTCAGACCTTGCCAGCGAATTGCACACGGCGCTTTCACGTCCATCGCGCTAGCACTGAAACATAGATCTGTGACGCAATAGATGCTGGCGCATCGTAAGTGCATTGCTGACACCTTGCGCGCATTTAAATGGAAACGCTCTACTTTAGCCAAAACGGGCTCACGCCCGAGAGTATGTTAGAATGGGCGCGAAGTGGTATTACCACGAGGAGGAACGAAGGTGAGGACGAGGAAGGGGGGATAGATTCTGGAGGGAGAAAGCAAAGGCATAGTCAGGAGAGGGGTGGAGTGGGAACAGGGATGAATGACATCCTTTTAAACAGAACCAGGACCCGCGCCAGAACATGTGGAGGAGCAACAAGGAGTGCAAGGGATCAATCAAGAGCGCAGAATGAAAGACGACGGTTGCAGGCAGTCAGAGACAGGAAGAAAAAACAGAGAAATGAGCTGCAGAAAACATATGCTTGAGCAGGGCAAATATTCCATCATCCCTCGTGTGGGTTTTCGCTCCAGTGCGTGCACAGGGAACGACCAAATCGCACGTCTGACCGGGGATGCTTTGGGGCGATGTGCCCACGGCTCCCCAGCCCGCGAACGCACCACGGGATGGGTGGGTAGGAAAGGACCCGCTGTCAACAGCACCCCTCGGCTGTTCGGCCTGCCGTTCCTGATCTCGCGCCTGGGTTTACCAAGCACCGCGCTTGCCCAGGCCTGCGACATGCTGCCTCTGCGGGCTGAGGCCCACGGCCCGACGGCAGACCACCCCACAGACAACGCCGCAATCCCCAAGGGGCACCCGCTTGCGCGAACAACGGTGACGCCCGTGCAACGCGGAACGTAAACCTCGTGCTCCCTTGGAACACCGGCGAATGAGACAAGCGAGCGTTTGCCTGCATAACGCAAGCCGTAGAAACCCCCAGAAGACAAGAGGAGAATAATGGAATACAGAACGTACTTCAGTCATATTTTCCTGCTCCCCAAATCGCACCGACAATACAAGGAACTCCGTTTGCCACAGGCCGTAGCTCAAGTGGCGTGCTGCTCCTGCCGCAGGCCAATGCAGCGCACCCACAGAGGGGAGGCCACCAACCCCCCCGAAGGAAGGCGGATTGTGACCAGCACTGCACGCCACACAAGGGAAGGCGGGAGGGACCGCGAGACGCGCGGCACTGCCCCCCGGGCCTGCGCGTGTAGAAGAAGGAGGAGATATAATATCAAATGTCCGCGAAAACCGCGATTCCCGAAAGCAGAGCTTCCTAAGAAACAACGCGTTCCGCTTTACACCACACCGAGGAGCCCCCAAGCACCCGGGGGACCCCGCGGAGCCCACCCCAGCAAACCGGCCGGGCGACGCGAAGCGCACCGACAATACGAGGAAGTCCGATTGCCACAAGCCGTGGCTTAAGTGGGGCGCTGCTCCTGCCGCAGGCCAAGGCAGCGCACCCACAGAGGGGAGGCCGCCAACCCCACTGAGGCAAACGGACCAGGAGGCGAGCGCGAAGCGCGAACCGGAAGGACCGCAACCCAGCCGCTGGGACGAAGGTCCTTGTGTTTTTCGCAGCGAAGGGCCCCTGACAAGGAAGCACAAAGGCAGCTGCCAGACAGGTGGCCCGCCCATGCTTGGCGAACGGCCTGCGGGCAAGGGCGCCGCCGAGTATGCAGCACGGGCGGCATCGAGGAGGCGCTGCTTGCGAGCGTTTGCGGAAAATTTGGTGCAGAAATTCCGCATCACATCTATGCTCGACCAACCTCCTTGGCCTTGCACGAGCTGCTGAGGGAGGGCAGCGGGACTCATCCACCATTGCGCCCAGCCCTTGCAGGGAATGGCTGCCGACCTGGGCGCCGGCGAAATGGCGAGAGAGCACGCGTCGAAAACTATCCGCGGAGACGGGTTTCAGCGCGGCGATCCTTGTCGCATGGAAAAATACACCTGCCTCCTGCCCCCGTGATTCTTTCCGCACGCTCACCCAGCTCCGAAGCTGCTTTGCCGGGCACAAGGGCCCGACAGCTGGTAGCTCTGGGATCCAAACGAGAAGTCCTTCGCCGAAAGGATCGTTGTTTTGCTTTCTGATTCTGCATTGGATAGCTGCACCTTGGTCTACCAAGTCACACGCTTGTAGCGCCTGGAGCTCGGAGAAACGCCGGTTGCCAAACAAAGCCAAAGCAACCATCGTTGCGTCCCGGACACCAGTTGGCGAACCTTGCGCCAGGCGGCTGCGCTGCATGGCCGCAGCTTCCGCTAGGGACAGCGGTCGCTTCGCCCCGCGCAGAGCACGGTCTGCTTCGTAAGCCCCCGCCAGAATTGCCATGCTCGGGGAGTCCACGCGGCCTCGAAAGCGCGCGGCAGGTCGCGCTCGACGTGCCAGGCCCCGAC